GAAGATTTGTGGACTGGATGCCTCCATGAGCCTGGCCGCAGAGAGCCAAGCATCCTTTCTCTGTAGAAGTGGGGGACCTGGCCACGCCCATACCCGCTCGTTCTGTACCCCAGCACTCCCCAGAGCCAGGGACTAGGACGGCAAAGAGTCAGGTCATGCTAGCACAGCAAATCCTTAACAATTAAGACACAAGCGCTCAGGAGAAAAAGAACGCTTTACTCCAGGGGCCTGATTTGGGGGAGCGATGCTCAGGACGAATGGATGTCAGTCCAAGCACTGCGGGCTGCTCTTCGGGAGTATTGGAAAACCACCTTAGTCTAGAATAGCCAGGTAGGCTGCCAAAGCGGCGTCAGGGAGATGTTGAGGGTCCAGGAGTGCATGTGGCATAGATCACATTCGTCTGTTTGACATTAGGGCTAAGAGGTTGGTCTGAGGAAGGAGAGTTGGTGGTCTAAAACTAAGTCCTGATTCCCTTTGGTAATTTGCTGATCCCATAAGGACCAATCAAACTTCGAACTTCTTGATGTAATTTTAAATGCTCTTGAATTGGAAACATCAAACAGGCGTCATATCAGAACAGCTTAATCATACATTTTGGACTTTTTAAAACAGTTTCAAATTGCTTATAAGAAATAATCATTAAGGGGAACAGGCATTAGGAGAAACAGAACGAACAGTATTTTTAATGCCAGACAATCCTTTTTGGTAGTAAAAGATTCTAATGCAGGCCCTACGACCATCATTGGGTTCTTCTCAGATGCATCGAACCCTGTGTGGGTCCTGATGGCAGAGAAAACAAAGTGAGTGAAGACAGAACCCAGGTCCAGCCTGTCTCAGCCTATTGGCCCCTCAGCGTTTCATTCAGAACATACAACTCTTGGTCCTTGGGCTTTTTGAGTGAGAAGTAGAATATTGTTTTCCTTCCAGAATTCATAGTTGCTGTTCAAAGGCCCTGGGTTTGCTAGAATTTTTTGTGTGGAATTCAGATATCCAGCAGTAGTTTTCTGGTCCCAGGGCTTCTGCTGACGAGGAGAAAGACATGAAGCTGACTCTGATTTTAGGGCCAGTAGCACCATAATTACAAAGAAGAACCTGCAATCTACATGGCCAGAAATACACATTTCAATTACGGTTTCTAAGGGGAATTTATAGGACCTGCCAGTAATATTTTTGACTGTATGCGGTCTCTCTGGAACATTCTTTTTTTTTTCTTGCATACACGATTTACATTCTTCTAGAAAATACCAGAATTGCCTGCTATTTCATATTTGTTATTGACAAGGTTTATTTTTACGAATACCACTGTTTTAGTCTTTACATAAAATATTTAGGGAAATAAATTTGACTCATGGCTGAAGCTAAACTCGGAGGGTATAATTAACCCCAGGGGTTTTCTTGGCGCCACCTGCCGATTGCTGCTGAATTGCAAGCCAGCATTTACAAATAATTACAATATTGGTTTTGCTGAAATTACGCATAATGATTTCAATCAGAGCAGCCATCTCAGAACAGAGTGTACGCTGGGACCCTCTAAATAATTTCCTCTCTTAATGTGCTCAATAAAGCCGCAAGCCTCCTGAATGCCAGGCCCATTTCTTTGGTGTCAGCCCCCTCCCTCCTCAGGCGTGGCTGGAACATTCTTTTTGCAGAGAGCTTAGGAAATGGTTTCTTTAACCCCATTTCTAATCTTTAAAAAAAATTTGCTGCCAATAAACATTTGAAGATGAGTAAGACAATTGATTAAACAAATATTGCTCTTTCCACACCTGTATGTCCTTAGAACAAGTTGCATGGCCATAACGTTGGTCCAGATCTCTATGATATTAGTTGAATAGGACCATCCTTTGGAAATACTGTCATAGGAAGAGTTAGATTTCTGTACAAGGGCCCCACCATGCAAAGAGTTGAATAATAATTGAATAAGTTTTTTCATTTGGCAAACAAAAACTTGTCTTAATCACCTTGGAAACTCGAAAGCCTAATGGACTACCCGGTACTTAGTATGTACTGAATGTGCATTTGATGAATAAATTATCTTTAAAGCACTCTAAATGATATGATATAAAATACTCTAAATTCTATGAGAAAGCAATACACATCAGAGTTACGTGGTAGTCACTCAGCTAAAATGGTGGCAAATTATAGTGTTCTAACTTTTATAAATGTTAGAACTATGTTCTAACTGTGGTATAATTTTTAGTGGTTGCTCTGTGATTCCCGCTATATTTTTTCTGAAACAAATCCAAAAATAGGACAGCACCTTCATCGGGGCTCTTGGTTTTTGCAGGGCTTCCTTGGCTAGATTTTTCTTCATATGTCTTTGAAGACTCTTGGGGTCTTTTTTTCAAAGACAGGAATTTTTGGAGATAACTTTTTTTTAAATTGTAGAAAAAAATGGGCATCTCTGTGCCTAAGTGATATGGAATTGTTGATCTTGCGGTGCATCTCCCTAAAATTGACTGAACATCCTAGATTTGGGGTTCTGTGTTTTACAGCATCATGAAAATAGCCAAGGTGTTCTCGATAGCTCACCCTAGCACAGTGACTGTCACAGTGTCACGGTGATAACAGAGTGAGGAGGCGCCCTCGGGAGCATCTGGTATTTTGCAAATGTGGAGACTGAGGCAGTGACCTAGCCAAGGCACTAGACCCCCTGAGCTCCACTGTGGCACCCTTAGCATCCAGTTCTAAAGGGAGCTTCACAACACTGGAGAAAGCCCCTCTTCTAAGCAGACACTCCCCCCAAAGCAGGGTTCAATGTTTTGCGGTATTGATTCAGCCCTGGAGAGCCATACGGCTCAAATCTGAGAGAAAATAGTAAGGAAGGTACAGACAGAGCAGCCCCAGGGGAATAATCTCTATTTCCCTTCCTAGGAGGCCTCGGGGGAAGGACTAGGTCCTTGCTTGGTGGGCGTGTTGGAAGGACCGCTGATGCCACCTTCTTCCTCCTTCTGAAGGCAAAGAGACCATTAATCCCAGAGTCAGTGTTGCAATTCTGAATACAGAAAGTTATAATGATTAATGTAAGTCTTCATTCAGTCCAGGGTCACCAACATCCTGTTTCACCTGGGACTAAGGGTTTGTCCATGGTAAAGGACTTGCAGTGCTAATGCCTGGAAAGTCACAGGCTAACCAGGACGAGGTGGTCACTCTAACTGAGCAAGAGAGTAGAATTTGTAAAGTTCTACTGCATCTCCTATTCCATTGTTCAGCATCGTTGAATCTACACAGACCTCCTTCCCTACTCTAAAATATACTCCACTTTGAATTTCTTTTTGGCGCTGGATATCTCTAATGGTATAAGACATAATTGAAATATTATCTAAGACTTAGAAGGGTCCAAAGAATTTGAGAAGCGTACGCACCTTGACATTATCTAAACCAAATCTCTAAGTACTTTCCACTGAATAGTTGGTGCTGGTGGCTAGATAGTGGCATAAAAGCAGGACAGGTCTTCGCCTGAAGCCCTTTTATCTTTTTGTTTTTCTTTTTCCTTAATTACTGATTGAAGAAAACAAATAATAAGCACCAATTTTCCTAAATACTTTATTCCTCAGATGTTAAGATTACACAGCCTCCCTGTTGTTGCTTTTATGTGTCCCCATGACTGGTACATGGGCAGCAAGATCGCCTCGCGATCCTGTTAATTGAGTTTCCAGGTGGCGTGCGTGCTGCCGACCCAGGCCGAGTAGCAGGGCTCTCGTTAGCTTTGTCTCTGGTTCCTCCTTGTCTCAAAGGGAAAAGTAGGACACTCTGCCACTGTAGGTTCTCAGAGTAGCTGAGTGAGGACAGCGGGCTGGACTGACCTTACCAGCAGCCTTCTCATTAAATTACCAAAGGTACACTGTGGGTGATGAGGCCCAAAGCCTGGTGACAAGCCTCCCCTGGCTCTCCTATCCCATGTCCGTGATTCTGTCTTCCAGAGAACAAGTGAGGACCACCCACCCAGAAGGTAACTCTTTTATAGGCTCTCCAAATTTTCTGTCTGAGGTCGTGAAATAGATACAGAGATGCTTTCCACAGGAAGTACAGGGTTCCCAAGTGTTGTAAATCTTCATTTTAACTCTTTATAACAGACATTCTCTCATCTCATTGCTTTCAACGTATACTAATGCAATAGTTTCTCTTAAAGTCAATCGCCCTCTTCCTGAAGAACCATCCCAGCCCTGGTAGTTTGTCACATACAAGCTCATCTTTCTTCTCGACCTTGGATTCAGAGTTCTACTGCAAGGAAAAGAGAAACGTTGACTTTTTTCTGCTGAGAAATGCTAAAGACATATTTCCCTCTCTCTCTTCTCACAAATAAAAAGACTTTAATGATCGTTCCATTAATACAAGGTACCAAGGATTATCACTCAGGCTGTTGAGCCGCAAATGCCGGATACTTACAAGAAACTTGCCTGCAGCCACTCGTGCTTTACTTAATCACAACTGGAAACTCGTTATTTTTTTTTAATGAATCTAAGTAATAAAATTTAATTCATACAAAGATGGTCACAAGAATGCAGCATCATTCCACCCCAGTTAGGGATTAGACCGCTGGGATGAAATCATATATCCAGGGGGAAAAAAATGGGCTGTTTTGAAAAATTATTTGATGGGTGTAAGTTTTCTCCTTAAATGCTTACATTTTCCCATATTTACGTACCAGGTTCATAAAAGTTAAATCTGTAGTTGTAAGAGCAGCTAAAAGAAAATACAGGCACGTGACAGAAAAAAAACCAAAACAACAACAAAAAACCCACTTCTCTCTAAAATGGTAAAAGAACTATGCTAGTAGGGAGGGTGGTTTCCCAGAACATTCCCAAAAGGCATTCTCACTTTGGGCTAAGTCTGAGGCATCCAACTGGAATTCAGAGTTTTATATGTATTGCTTTTTAACCATTTGAATTGCTGACAAAGCAAGAGGCCAGCCCCAGCCCATCACTACCTCCCATTCTGTTGGACCAGATTTTCATTTTGTGGATGAAAATGTCATGCGAATTACGTGGCTGTTTCAGGGGAACCCAGTGCACCTAAGCTCGAAGGGCAGATGGGAGAGGATGGAAACTCTATTAAGGTGAACCTGATCAAGCAGGATGACGGCGGCTCCCCGATCCGACACTACCTGGTCAAGTACCGAGCGGTGAGTGGCCTCCTTCCCGGGCGTCACACCACCCCGCAACCCTGACACCTGCCTTCTTGGCACAGCAGCGTGCAAAGCCCAGGGGGGCGGGGGCGGCCTTTGTGCCTGGCAGGTGGCTCCTGGGTCCGGGTTAGGGTTTTACATTCCAAGATTGACTTGCAGCCTTTAGGTCATGTCTACGCTGAGACCATTTTTTTTTTTCAGTCCCCTATTTTATATTTTTTAATTGAAATGCAGTTGATTTACAGCGTTGTGTTAATTACTTCTGTACAGCAAAGTGACTTCATTATTCGTATATATACATTCTTTTTCTAATACTCTTTTCCATTATGGTTTATCATAGGATATTGAATATGGTCCTCTGTGCTACGTATAGCATGGATAAACACACTGAGACCATTTTAAAAACCTCTAAAATGATTTTGGTGATGACAAATCCATACCACGATTGATTTTTCTGCTTCCTAAATTTTTCTACGAAGTTATCTTGCCATCACCCAGTACTTTTTGCAAATAACATACTGATATCTGATAATCACACTTGGATAAAGCGTGTATCATAGGCCAGGCGTGCAGGCCCATGATCGCATGCATTTTCTTCTCCCCAAGAACCCTACGAAGTTGGTCTTAATGATTATCCCCACTTTACAGAGGAAGTAAGTGAGGCTTATGCAGTCAGTGACTGCATGACTCATACAGCCAGGAAGCCAGGGTTTGAATCCAGGTCTGTGTGCCTGAAGAGACGGGGTCCTTAGCCCCCGGCCTGGGCTGCCTCAGGTCCTAAACCAGCTCCTTCCCTCACCCTACCCCCAGTGCTCGTGCAGCCCACCTGAGCTGTTGTCACCCTGCTGTCCGGCTACCAGTGAGCCTGGCCATAAGCCTTTTCTTCTGGGTTTGCCCACCACCCATCTAAGATTTCTGACAGTCCACCTTTCATCCCCGACCCCCAAACTGAAAATCACCCCATTGTGGCTTTTTGGTTTTTTCTGGTTTTAGAATGACCCTTGGCCATTGCCTTCCACAGCCAATTGCTGAGAGGTTTAGAGGCAGCATCTGAGCATTGGAAATAGCCTCTTGCTAGGATTTCTTGCCCGTAGAAAATAATGAACTTGAGAGGAGTTTTCTTTCTTCAGATAGCCCCCAAAATAGGCTTTTCCCGGGAAGTCTGACCTACTCCCTATCTGCCCTTTGATCAGCCCTGCTTGAAGTACCATGGGAGCCCTAAGCCGGTTATGTTTGCAGAGAGTCCGCGCAGCACAGAGCCCTCCCGGGCACACTTCTCAGCCGCTGGGCAGCCTGTCAGTCCACTCAGCCCTCTCCTCCTTAACTGTGAAGTCAGGCGCGAGCCTGTTGTTGGAGGAGGAGCCTCAGTTGACTTTCCTAAGGCCCAGCCCAGAGGCACCACCATCTGAGAGGTCCCTGTGGTTTCCTTGCTGTGGAGTAGGATTCAGGGACTGGGCAGGTGGTCCCATGGAGCCCACTGGAAGTGGGCAGTGTGGGGGGAGGATGTTATTATGTGTTGTTATGCTGATGTGGCCCAACAGACATGGGACCCGATTCCAGCTTTACCATTTAGCGGCATGGGACCTGAATAGGTCACCCAGTCTTCCATAATCTCCATTTCTCCATCAATAAAATGGAGAGAGCTTATCAAGCTGTTGTAAAGATTAGTTATAACGTAAGCAAAGAACCTGAAATGTGCCTGACACTTGGAAAACTCTGTACGTGGTAACTGTGATAATCACTGCTATGATGCAGGCTGGGGCTGGAAATATCTCCCTCATGAGGCCACATCAGGTGTCAGTGTTCCAGAAGAGCCGTCCCAGCTGTGCCAGGCAGGCCTGCCTTGAAGAGACAACTGGGGCAAAGCACTGCGATATGTTAGACTTCGACAACCGTAACTGTCCTCTCCCTTCCACCTCAAATCCTAACATGTGCTGAACATTACTATTATTATACGTTATTAATATGTATTACGTAATGTAATGTTTGCTTTATATTCTGGCTCTCTCTTCTGTATGATGTTTGCCAAGGAAAGAAGCCTTTCAGAGAAAGAGGACAAAAACAGCTGAATTTCTTCATTTTAAATTAAAATGGGGCACATGCTGACACGCTCGGGAGCCAACTTAGAGCCACAGCCTGGCTTCCAGTTAGACGCTGAGGACATAAGCACCCGCTTCCAGCATTTCCCCACACTGGTCATGGCCATGACACGAGTGCTATCCCATTCCTAAAGGTATCCCTTTGGCTGGTACAAAGCATTTTTCTGGGAAGACGGCTGGCTTTCCTATAATGTAACTCTTCCTGAAGCCTCAGCCATGGGCTAGACCACCTTCCAGGTGACACTGCTAGCATGTTCTGCTCTTCCGGGGAGCAGCCCATCATCCAGTAGACATGCGTCGACGGCTCCCACCCAGAACAAACTCACTGGCAAACGTGTAGGATAGAACTGGAAAGAACATTTGAGAAAAGAGGGGCATCTATAACTCCAGCTTCGTGCCTGAAATTATGCCCTGGGCAGTGCTCTGCTGAGCTGAGTGTACCTTGTAGGCACTCTGGGCACCTCAGCCTTGGACCTGACAGAAGAATTCACACCTGTGACACCTCCAGCTCCAGTCTCAGAGAGCAGGTCACACTGCATGCAATAGGACGATCCAGTTCAGTGCAGTAGATGTGTGTTGAGCTCCCTTCTACGAAAGGCTTTGGACCCAGAGGCTCTTGGCCACAGCTCGACTGCCCATGTGGCTTGGGGAAGTCACCTGACCTCTCCCTCCCTTCCCCGTCATCAGCGTTAGTAAGGGCCAGGCAGAAGCACTGGCAGGCTTGTTGTAGGGATGCAGGGAGAAAATGTGCAGAAAGCCTTTAGTCCAATGCCTGGCACGTAGTGGGTGCTCCATGAATGATAGTTTTTATTTTTAATAAAAGTGGAACCTGTGCAGTGTTCCCATGTCAGGGAGGTGAGTCACACACCTGAGTGTGACCAACATTCTGAAACAGGCCAAGAAACACAGTTGTTGGATTACTCTTCTAGGTCATCCTTAGGCCACGGGCCAGCATTCCGGAGTGTAGCTTGGGCCCCTGCACGCTCTCAGGGTGGTGCACGGGACATTGAAGGGTCGGCCCCATGCCACACTGGCGGTCTGCCGCTGTTTGTATTTGCAGGCAGGCAACGTTGACCTCCTGACCTGCATGATCATTTAGCTTCGGGTTTTTCAGGCTGGTTAAGAGTAAAGACCATGTCCTATCTTTGGTTTTTATTTCTGACTCCCTTATGTTCCTCCTGTTAGCTGGTCTTAGCAGGTATTTCACCTAAAGCTTTCTGGTGTCTTGTATCTTCCTTGCCGGTTTCTCCCAGAAGCTCTCCTCCGAATGGAAACCAGAGATCAGGCTCCCATCTGGCAGTGACCACGTCATGCTCAAGTCCCTGGACTGGAATGCCGAGTACGAGGTCTATGTGGTGGCTGAGAACCAGCAGGGAAAGTCCAAAGCAGCTCACTTTGTGTTCAGGACCTCGGCCCAGCCCACAGCCATCCCAGGTATGACGGCTTTGCTTTCTGTGAGTTTCCCGCTTTGGAATAACGCACAAGTGCCGCACCTCCTAATGTGCCTGAACAGCCCCTGACAACTCGCTTGCTTACAGCCATCCTCATGATCGGTTGCCCATGCAAAGCTTAGTTTTGCTTTGTACCTAGCTGTGCAGTAGGTTGAGATGGCCTGGACCCCCAGGAAGGCTTGGCCAGGCCTCCTGAGTGAAGGTCCTGTGTCATTCAGCCTTGGAGGACTGACGATAAGCCAGTCCGTGGGACCCCTCAGATGGGAGAGACCCCAGCTCCAGCCAAGCTTTGGATGCTGGTTGAGGAAGGATCCTTTTTTGAGACCTTATCTGCTATCTACCATTTCATACAAGGACCACGTAACTGTTTTGAAGCACTTTCTCTCTGATGCTTGCTTACCTGCACAGCTGTGGTCCAAATCTCTTCTCTGTGGGAACCCCAAGAGAAGGGACATATGGTGCCCAGTTAGTTAGTTAAAAATCCTCCCTGCCAAGGGCCTCTCAATGGAAACAAAGATTAAACCGAGCCACTTGAAACAGAACAAGTGGAGAAAGTAGACGCTGGAAACCCCCATCCATGAAAGGCGGTCCAGTCTGCTAGAGGCTGGGATGGGAGCAGCTCTCCCAGGAGATGCAGATCTGTCTCTAGGGATCCAGGACCAGCTCAAGTGTGGGAATAAAGTGAGAGTTCTGCTTTCTGGCCCAGCTGCCTCGCTTCTGATGGCCAGTCTCCTCAATGACCTAATTCCTCGGAGCAGAAAGAGATCTTCATCGCCCCTCTCTGCTTTTCCAGAGCAGCCGTATGCCAACCACAGGCAGGAGAGGTGGGCATAGAATATGCAGCTGCATATTATGCAGTGGAGGGGTCCCCGTAAATGCTCTGCAGTGTCCAAGTATGGTAGGAAGATGCTCCCACCTCCCGGTGGCCTTCATCTGGCCTCCATTATGCCTGTCCTGTCTAGAGTGCTTGCCCCCAGCTCTCAGCTCAGTGATCACGATTGCTGTTTCCAGAGGGAGAGAGGCCAGAAAGGACATGGGCTACTGTGACACAGGGCTGTGTGTGTGGAAGTGCGTTGGTCGAGCAGCAGCAAAGTAAGATCAGTGTGTGCTTCCCAATGGTTGGTTGCACATGAGTGTGTGTATCTGATGGATGTGTGTGGGCCCCCAGGGAGTTGGCGGCCATAGATGAGAGGTGTCCATGGTCCTCCCCTCTGCACTGACAGGGAGGCCCCTTAGCATAGGCTAGGGTGGGTGTCTCTCTGCAGGCACTGGTCATGTGGTCAGTGATGAAGCCAAGGTATCTGGTTGTGACTGTAAACGATGTTCTCCTCACTGCTTCGTAGGCTGTCCAAATAGAGGTGTCCCTTTCTATTCTCTGCCCCTTCTTTCTCTGCATTCTTGGGTCAGTTTTTCCCTGGAATTGACAGTCTGGTGGGAGTGTTCAGATCTGCTCGGCTTTTATGGGGCACTTAGGAGATGGGGGAGTGAGAAGCCTTGAGGGATTCCTTTGCAGTGAGACAGATTTCTACGGGCATCTGCTTCCCCGGGTAAGACCTCGTAGGTGGTGATTCCAACATGCTGCGTTCCCAGGCTGGGTACTGCCGGCGGCATCAGCTTCTGAGCTTGGAGAAGTTGGGGCCACTGGGTGTCAGATACAGAAATTCTGGGAAGACCAGTCCCCCGAGTCCTGCCCACCGGGGTTGTCAGCGTCCTTCTGGCTAATCTCCCAGGCTCCCAGTTACAGGGGAGGGTTGGAGGGGCTACTCACCTCCCCACGAGGGCTTCGGGCTCTACTGCGTAGGTTTTAGAAGGAGGTTGCTTGGCTGGACTTCTCTGGGACCTGCGAATAAAACCTCTGAATTACGAGATGTACGTTCACGGTGAAATTCTCTGGTCAGTGGGTGGTGGAGGTGAGAGGTGCAGAACTAGATTCTCTTTAAGAGCACTGTGGGTGGGGGGATGGTACAACAGGAAGAAGAGTCCGATTTATTGCCGAAAAGGTGGCCCCCATCCTTGCATACAGTTTGCTGCACATACTGCAGTGATCAGATGCATCTCTACCCCAATGTGTAAAAAGCTCTAGAGGCTATAGAAGGCTGTGGGGAGACTCCTGACTGCACCTTAGAGACCTCCCCTGATCAAAGGTAACACTTTCCTAATCAGACTCTTGTATTTGCCTGTGGAGGCTTCTGTTCTCTCACTTTAATTTCATTTGCTCGCTGACCCCTAACCCCTGAATTCACCCCGCTGTGCTGCTTCTGGCCTTGCTGAGCTTAGGAACTGGCCTTATGGTGATAATATGGCACTGAACTCTTCTCTAACCTTTGTCAGTTTAATTTACAAAGTTGAATTAACCTTTGATTCTTGCATTTTCTATATTTGACCTATTTTTTTTTCTTTTTATCTATTTTTTTTCTCTGTTTCTGTCTCTTCCTTCTCTTTCCTCCTTCCCCCTCCCTTTCCTGTGTCTGTCGTCACACATATCACCTTGGACGTCACTGGGACATCCCCACTGCCACATTTGTTTTTAAACAACCACATTCTCTCTGGGGACCCATTGCTTGGCACCTGCAGCGACCTTGGGAGGCTCCACCACGTCCTCTACCTTTGTCTCATTGCTTTTCTCTGCAGTGACTCTTCTCTTGCTCTGTTAGGAACTTGAATGCCAAAAAACTAAATTTGCCTAAGAGCCCGGTTCCTATGAGAATGATCAGTGCCCCCTTTGGAAGGATCTGTCAGGACTGCCATGGCCACACCACCAAGCTGTCTGTGCAAGAGGAAGGTTTGGCAATTGGAAAAAGCTGGACCTCCACACTTATTACCCTTCACAGATACTTTTGTGCCACTTCATAAGGAGTTTGCCCCCTTTTTCATAGCAGTATAAAACGTTTGGGAGCTCTTCTCTTTACACCCTCTCTCTCTCTATATATATATATATATTAAAAGAACAACAACAAAAAACCATTACATTAGGCTTACAGAAAAGCTTCTGCACATCTGCTACTGGTTGCATCTCTGGTTCTTACCTGAAAATGTAGCAGAGAAGGATTTCTAAGTACTCTCTAAAGCTTGCATCAGATTGTTAAAATCACCCCGTGTCCCCATTGTAACCCTGTGCTCCTCTGCTGCCCTTCAATAAGTAGTTGGCTTCGCTTGCATTTAAGTGCCCCTGGTAAGCCCGCTGCGATTCACCGGAGCATTTTGCTGGCATGATGGGCAAAGTAAGTCGCCCTGTTGCCCATGCAGCGGAAGAACTCGGATTTGTTGAGTATTTTCTGGGGCTGATCCAACATCCTGGGAGGCGCTTTGGTCCTGGTAGTATAACCAGCACCTGATGCTGGCTCTGTGAACAGGGCCAACCTAGGACATGCCCGGCACCTATGGGCTCTGGAAGGTGCGTGTCTCCCAGTCAGGGTGATACCTGCTGCATGGCTACAGGTCAGCCACAGACCTCGTGTCTTGGCGGGTGTGACCCAACTGTGACCCACATTATCGCATAAGCATCAGTCCCCCAGGTTGGAAGCATCCACTGTGAGCCTGGCGCGAGTCGCGCCCCCTCCCCACACATGCTCAGTAGAGCGCGAGGCAGGGCCAGCCCAGAGTGCCCATAAATTGGAACCCAGCCAGCCTGTCATACTGCCCGAGTGCCCCGACCCCCTGTCGGTCAGTGGTTTCAATGACATTTTGAAAATTCTGGTGGAAGCCAGCTGCCCCTCTGCTGTTGGGGGTAGCCCCCGCCATGCCCAGGAGAGGAGGTGAGGTGTGTTTGTTAAAGTTCCCCGTAGAGACTCGAGTGAATCCTGCTCAGTGGCGTCCGTGTCGAGCTCAGGGGTACCTTTTCCTGAATAAAAACTCCCCCCTCCGTTGTGGTCACATATCATTCCACATATCTCATCTCTGAGCATCTCCACAGAAGTTTGATTTTTGTTCATTTTGGTTTCTTTACTTCTCGGTTCTGTTGTCATTTTTTAATGTCCAACGACGAGCCTTTCTCTTTGGGAATCCAAGTGATCCTGTGGTCTGCGGGGCAGAGCTGCCCGTGGCAGTGGGCGCAGGCCCGTGTCCCCAGCGCTGGTAGTTTAGAGGGTCAGGTACACACACCGGCGGCCACAGGCCACCCAACGGCTCAGCCAGGCAGCGCCTCTCGCCCTGGCCCCGCTGGCCTCCAGCCCCACCGTGAACCTCTCCCCCGGGCTCCCCGATCTCCCGTCCCACCATGGCAGCGGGAGCAGACACGGTTCTTAGGCACAAGGCAGAGTATCAAGGAGAGGCCCATGGTGCCTCCGGGCCCGGCGTAGAATCCCAGGGCCATTAGGAAGGCACAGGAGGGAGACATGGTCCTCACGCAGGTCGCCCATCACTGTCCCCTGACTCCCGGCAGGCTCTTGGTATCATCTTCGGCAGAAGTTGCATATTCATCCAGGAGGGCCCATCTCAGAGGTCTGCCCCACCCTGGTCCCAGTCCCATAGGCAAGGGCCTATGTCTGTGTTTCTGAAGATCTGGCCCAAAGTGTGGGGAGGCCTGACATCCATGACCCTGTCCCCTCAGCTCATTCTGGGCCAGGCAGGCCTCAGCTGAAGCAATGTTGGGGTCATTGCATTGGCCCCATTCGGATAGGCCCGTGGTTTGTAAGGGACGCCCTTTCGGGAGATAGCGTTCAGGCACGCCCGCCCCCACCGGACACTGAGCCACCCTCATGGTGGCTGCAGCCCTCAGCCCCGCCGGGAGCCCCTGAGACAGGCCCTGAAGGAGGGAACGCTCGCTGCCCCGCTCAGCCGCCCTGCCCCCGCGCCCTGTCTCAGTGCTGCCCGATCTCCACACGCCACAGGGCTTCTCTGCTCGTGTTTTGCAATATTTATACGGCAGGTTTGGATCACGTTTTTCTACTAATAAGAATGCTAACATTGTTGTGTAGATAATCAGCGAGGCCTTGATGAAGTTTACACCTTTGCATTATTAAAGGAAATAACAGTTCATGTGAACTCACCAGCGTGTTTGGATTTTATTTGATAGTTGTGTATCCTACAAAGTGCCAAAATCCCTTTGCCTCCACCTCACAGGTACCTGGATTACTTTGATTGCCCCAGAGAGCCCTTTAAATTGGACCCCAAACTCGTAGCTTGCTGAGTGGAGTTCTAGTCAAAGGAATCACTTTCCCTTCCTCATGAGGAGTGATGCAGTTTTCTCAGCTCTCCTAAGAGCTGCTGTGGGTCACTGCCTCCTTGGACTTTCCCCAGCAGACAGGGCGAGGGGAAAGTGCCTTTGCGGAGCCAGAAGGTGGTCACCTTGGGCTCAGGGGCGGCCACCGGAACCACAACTCTGTTGCAAGTTCTCGCGATTGCACGGCTCCCTTAACGACTTCATATCCGAGGCTTCACAGAGTGACGTGGTGACAGAGAGAATCTAAGAGAAAGGTCTCATTGGCAAGCCCTATTCTGTTTATAATCACACTTAGTTGGATGCCTCCTGAAAGCCCCAAGACCAGCCATCTATTCAGCAGATTCCAGGAAGGAACAAGCAGACGAGTGAACCTCAGCTTAATTGTTCCGAGAGGCGGAGGCGGGAGGGGGCACTTCTGCACTGATGTCCCGTGACACAGTGACTCGGGCCCCCTCAACTGCAAGGTGGGAGATGTCTTCCCATTTTGAGGCATTTATGAGCATAGGCACTTGTAGGTCTCAGTCTTGGGCAAGCCAGGTGTTCAGTGCCGACACCTCCCAGACCAGGAACCACAGAGATGTGCAGCCCCAGCTCCATAGCCCTACCGTTCAGCGCAGCTCTAAGCGCAGAGGTTGTGGAAGAACTGCTCCCCAGAAGCACTCTATGTATGCAGGTGTGCAGATGGGGTAGCCAGGAGAGGTCAGGGGAAGGTCATGCAAAGATAGACCCCAAAGTTGTTTTCTTTTCCTTTTGTCAAATGTTAAGCAGGATGCAGGAGATAACCTTTGTCCTTCTAGTTTCCTGGACTAAGCAATTCTGTCGTAGCGACCAAGAGGTAATGAATGTTGGCTTGACTTGGGTACCCTTTCATTTGCATTCTGTGTTTCCTTTATTTACAGTTTTTTGTAAAGGCTCCACACATCCTTCCTCCAGCTTGAGGGGTACCTCACTTCCTCTGGAAGTCTAGACTCTTAATGGTGAACTGGGTGGCCCCTTGGGGATAAGTCTTTTTTCTCTCCATCCATCAAGTACATCAGTTAGGTCAGGGCCACCAGGTAAGACTGCACAGCTCATCCTTGGGTGGGGAGTCATAGGAACAGCTGTTATTCATTGTAATGCAGGCAGAAAACTTAGAAACAGTGGTCCTCAAAGTCTGGGGTGCATGAGAATCGCTGGGGAGCTCCATCAAATCCTGAGCCTCAGCCCCAGAGATTCTGACTTGGTAGAATGGGGGAACCCCAGAATCTGAATTCTTAACAAAGCACCCCAGGAATTCTGCTGCAGGTGGAGAAACATTATGCTGAAAGGTATTTATTTTTCAACTAAAGATAAAATCATAAGAATCAATGAATAAAGATGGGACCTACCAATTGTCTTGCAGGAAAAAGTCCTGCTCGGTACACACTGTGGAGGACATGGACATTAGGGAATCTGTATCCTGTGCTGGGGACTGCAGGACATCTAACATGCAATGACAGGCCCTTAGAGTTGAAGAGGACCTGAAGACATCCTCTATCCTAGGCTCTGCCCAGTGCAGGAACCTCAGCCAGAGCATTATGGTATCCCGGCCAAGGGATTTTCCAGCCTCTTCTTGAATGCCGCTGGCAACAGGGAGCTCTTCCAAGGCAGCTCACGCCACACTTAAATAGCCCTTGTGTGTTAGTTCTGTCTCATGTGAGCTCAAGTTTGCCTCCTACCCCCATAGTTGCCATCCACTAGGGACACTGAATAAGACTGCTTCCTTCTCATGACACACCTTTAAATATTTGGAGACAGTGTTCTCATCTCCAAGGCTAAACACTGTTCCTTTGTTCAACAAATATTCTTTGAACATTTCTTATAAGTTGGGTTGTCCTAGATGCTGGGGAGACAAGAGACAGGGTACCTGCCAGGATATTCTAGAGGGTGGGGCAGCCAGATAAAAGCATGTCAATGAACAGAAAATGACAGATAGTGGTAAGAGGAGCATAAAACAGGGTAATGTGGTAGGTACTGGGTAGAGGTGCCTGAGTAGATAAGAGATCAGGGCAGGGGAGGGGGGAACCTCTGCAAGAAGGTGACATTTGAGCTGAACCTGCAAGAAAGCAAAGAGCCACCACAGGGTGCCGGGGCTGGAGGGTTCCAGGCACTATGACAGGAACGGGCTGGGCGTGGTGAGCAGATAGAATGGAGCTGCTCCCGGCTAGAGCACAGGGATTGGAGGCAGGGCTCAGTGCCCTGAGTTATGATGGTCAGAGGAGTGGGAGAGTCCACAGCACGTGTAACACCTTTTAGACCAAGGGAAAGAATTTGAATTTTATATCAAGTGTGAGAGAAGACCATTGCCCTACCTTCTGTTTTATATCAGTCTCGTTGCCCTCCTGGCCCTTGGAGGTGTTGGCCTTGGCCTTCAGAGCAGTGCAGCCCTCTGATGGATCTGCTGAGCCCAGAGCACAGGTGGATAACGGCTGTTTCTCCCACACCGAGCAGCTTTGCAGTGGTTTGTTTTTCTTCCTTAGAGACCTGACTAGTTCCCTAAAACCGTATTTATGTATAAACCTCAGAACATGGTGTTAGTGCCTTTGAGTCCAAAAATACAGACATTCTTTCCCCACGAAAATACCTTAGGCTCCTTCTGCAGGAAGTAGACACTATTGGGTATGGGTGTCAGGTGGCCTCCAGCCCTGAGTCGTGGGATGGGGAGGAAGCCCAAGGCCGTATTTCTTCCCTGTTCAGGGAAGCAGCTGTGGTATTCTGACCAAGAAGGCCTGCGTGGCTTTCTTTGCTTTTGTGTGTGGATGTGTGAGCGCCACGGGGGAGCAGAGTGGACGGTGTGCTACTGGGGAGAAGACCGGCTCTAGCTGACCGCAGGGACCCATGGCCAGTTTCCTGCTGCCAAAGCCCGGAGACAGAGTGGTCAGAGCTGGGTCCTCTGAGCATGGAGCCCATTGCCAGACTTGGGCCTTCCTGGGGAACAGGCTGTGTCTTCAGTGTGGGTTGAAAGGGACCAGTGGGGGAGCCTGAGGAGGGGCTGGGAAGCAAGAGCAAGGTCCCAAGGAGGCAAAAATATTCAAGATCCTAGGAGGTTCCTCCAGCGCAGGCCCAGCTGAGCCCTGGGTGCCAGGAATTAGGTTGTGAGTGGTCGTCTCTTATGTGCTGGCCAGTGCCTATACACTGAATTGAAGTTAGAAATAAGGGCCATCAGAATAGGACAGCAGTTGAAGGAGCCCCGCCATGCCTGAGCAGGGCCCCTGGGACACACAGAGGGCCTCCCAGGAGCACAAACCACATGGAGACAGAGTGTGTGGCCCATCTCTGTCACCTTGGGTTACCTGTTCTTTCCATTATTTGGCACGTGATGTGGCCAGAGGCCCCTGGGCCTGGCCCAGATTCAGCAAAGGCCCTGTGAGACCCAGGTTGTGTTGGCCACAGTTCCTGCCTCCAGTCAACACGCCTGGGTGACCCAAGTGGGTCCAGAGGACACAGGAAGCTTCAGACAAGGTCTGGTGGTACGATGGGGCTGCCCCTCTGGAACCCTGTCCCCCCAGAAGAAAAATGAAGCAGGGTACCCACTTTTCAGCCTGGGGTCATGTTTTCCACACTGGCTTCCACAGAGCTCTGCATGGGTCCTTGCTTCCCCCAGCACAGCCTTCCGCCTCCCAGATGCTGGTGGGAATCACCAAGCGGGCAGGGGTCCACCGCAGGCACCTAGCACCAATCACGAGGGGGCCCTATGGAGCCGAGCCTGGGGTCCTTCTGTGATACCATCAATAGCCCAGGGCCCCCAGGGGATTCTAGATGGACACCAGGGAGTAAGACACAGAGGTTGAGTCATTCCAGTGAGTCCAGCTGGAGCGGGGATGCCGGGCGCTGCTCAAAGGTGAGAATGTGTGTCCGTCTGTGGTAGGCACGCGTCCTGTGTGAGTGAGCCTGTCGTGCGTGGGTCATCTCTGGGTGAGTCGGCTGGGTTTCTTGAAATCTGATCCAAGCGTGCCTGGCTCCCAGATGGTGAGTATTCCCAGACCTTCCGCCTTGCCCTCTGGGCCTAGCGAGGCCCCCTTATCTCCAGAGTAAGTGGCTTCATTCGTCTCCCTGGTGCAATGAAGAAGGATGGTCCAAAGTCAGGATCCTCTGGAGCGGCTCCTAAAGAGGGGGAAGGAAGCGCGGAGGTTCACGGGGCGTCTTGGTGTGTCTGACGTCACCACAAGCCCAAAGGAAGCCCTGGGAACCCTCTGTCGCCCCATCTGGGACCCTGTCCCTGGCAGCTCCCAGGGCTCATGGGGAGACCAACTGAGTGTGGGTTGAGAGCAGGGATGGAGACACATTGCCCAGTCTCCTCCTGACGTGTGGGTGCCTTGTGCCCTTGTCCCCTGGTCTATGAGAGGAGGCTGCCATCCCTCCCTCTTGAAGAAAGAGACGCTGTTGTCTCAACACCTGGGGGTAGAGAGGCCCCAGGGAAAGTGTCACTCTGAACACAGATGCCACAGCCGTCCCGTGGGCTCTACCCCACCCCCAGGGCTGTTGCTCAGCAGGTCCAGGTCTGCATCTCAGTGTACTAACCAGCACCATCCCTCTCTCCCTCCCCCACAAGCCAACGGCAGCCCCACCTCAGGCCTGAGCACGGGCGCCATCGTGGGCATCCTCGTCGTCACCTTCGTCCTGCTGCTGGTGGCCGTGGATGTCACCTGCTACTTCCTGAACAAGTGTGGCCTGCTCATGTGCATCGCCGTCAACCTGTGCGGAAAAGCCGGGCCTGGAGCCAAGGGCAAGGACATGGAGGAGGGCAAAGCCGCCTTCTCGTGAGTGCAGACCCGCCCGCTGCTGCGGAGCGCTACACTCTGCCCCGGCCTGGGGCCCAGCGAGGGAGCCACCTTAGCTTCCCCATTGGAAACCCCGAGGGGAGCAGAGCATTAGCGAACTGTCTCTCAAAGCATGGTCTTCAGGGGTACCCGTTTAAAAAGCAGACAGCTGGACCCAACCCCACATCTAGAATCGCATAGACGTTTGAAATCCCTCCATAGGTCAAAATGAGGGGAATTGTCAGAGCTAAGCCTGGAGGGGAGCTACCATGGAGGGGTCAGCATTTGAGAGACACACTTGCCTTGCTGCCGTTCATGCATCCATCATTCAACAAATATTTATGGTGCAGCCGCTACAGGCACGGCACCATCCCCAGGCATTAGGGGACAGCAGTGAACAAAGCAGATGAAAGTACCTGTCCTCCTGGAGGACGATCCAGCATCCTCCTGCAGGATGTGCTCCAGCATCTCTGGAGAAACAGATCCTGAGCCAAATAGCAGGAACCTTCACAGACTGTCACTGGGTGGGGCTGAGGTGGAGCGAGGCGAGAAGGGACGGAGCAAGGAAATCAGTTGTTAGCGCCACCCCATGCCAGGCATTGTATATACACACACATACGTCATGTACTTATACATGTATGTACATGCACACACACATGTACACATGTTTTACTCACATATACGTATAGCTATACTTATACATGTATGTACTTATATATACTTATACGTATACACATACATATACATACATCATATACTTACACGTATACATACTTACATATATGTATAGCTATACTTATACATGTATGTACATACATATACACATGCATATACATACATCGTATACTTACACATATACATACTTACATATACGTACACATATACTTATATATACATCATACACTTATCCGTGTTCGTACTTACGTATACATATACACATATGCGTACATACTTACGTGTATACAAATATAGATGACTTGAGCACTGGACTGTGCCAGGCACTGTGCTAAGCACTTTATATCCATTATCTCAGTTAATGTTCGTAACGTCTAGGCAAGGTAGAGACTGTTATCTGCCCCATTCTCCAGGTGAGGAAACGGAGGTATGAGTGAGCAGGTCACACGGCCAGCAAGAGCGGAGGCTGAGATGCCGCACTTGACTCTGGTTCTGGATCCCACCACCCCCCCACCCCAGCCTCGAGCGAGGCACAGGTGCCTGAGCCGTAGCTGGCTTCCCTGGGAGCCCCCTGCATCCCCCAGCTCCCTGGGATGGAACCAGCAGAGCTGTCTCCACAGGAAAGATGAGACCAAGGAACCCATCGTGGAGGTGCGAACTGAGGAGGAACGGACCCCAAACCACGACGGAGGGAAACACACAGAGCCCAACGAGACCACGCCGCTGACGGAGCCCGAGTACGTGGGCGGGGCGGGCTGCCACCTCCTCGGCACAGCCTCACAGCCACCACATCTCCCTGCGCACAGCTCCATGCTTCCCACCCACGGCTCCCCAGCCGAGCATGGCAGGCTAGAATTCTGGAGTGCTGGGCCAGGAATGCCTGACCCCACTCTCTCCCTAGAGAGGAGGCATTCCTGATTCTACCTGGGTGGCTGTGGGTGCCTTAAAGTCTCCGTGCATACATGGGATCCCTAGACGCTGTGCCCAGCTCACACACACATTCTGGAAATGGCTTAAGGAGACAAAACTTCATTGAGAGAGGCTGAGCTTAGCAGATTCTGTTTAGGATTTCCAAGAACTCTAGGGTTTTCTGCCTTCTTCCTAAAAGGGCGAGGGAAGCTGGGGCCCTGGTAAAAACTCCCTGGTTCTCCTGGTCTCGGAAGCCTTGGGGACCCCCAGTCAGAGCCACATCCAGCTGTGATGGTAATGACCACGGGGGTATCGTGGGTCCTGTGGGTTTGAAGGAAATGGAGTTTAATGGAAGCACAAAATCTCTGGCTGGACCACCCACAGCCCTGAGGGACCACGGGGAGGCCTCTTCGTCTCAGGGGCAGGTGGGCCCAGTTCCCCAGGGACCTAGGTATGACGCCTGCGGTGGTGGACGCTGAGCTCCAGCTGGCCTCTCCCTGAGTCGAGATGCAGGCAGGGGTCCGAAAGGGCCGCCAGGGCTGCAGGGAAGGGAGCCCGTGCAGATCGGGAGGGGAGTCAGCAGGGAGGAAGGTGACAGGCCCTGTTAGACTGCCGAGTTCTCTGTTGTCTCCTGTGTCCTCTTCTGCCCGCCTGGGCGTGTGCTTCCTCTGACGTCCTCCTCTCTCTGTGGGCCTGTGTCCATGCCTGTGCGTCCCCGCATGCCAGCCCCCGGCCCCCGCCTTGGCCTCCGCCCTTCCCGGCTTCTCTGTCCGTCTCAGCTTCATCGTCTATCTCTTCTACTTCCTGTCCTCCCCACAGGCTGCCTGCTGACACCACAGCCACTGTTGAGGACATGCTGCCTTCTGTCACCACCGTCACCGCTAACTCTGACACTATCACCGAAACCTTTGCCACTGCTCAGAACAGCCCCACCAGTGAGACCACCACCCTCACCTCCAGTATCGCCCCCGTGGCCACGGCCACCCCTGATTCAAACTCTGTGCCCGCCGGCCAGGCCACCCCTTCCAAGGGGCCCGGCGTCGCCGCCACCTCCCCGCCCCCAGCCTCAGCCCCCAAGGTCGCCCCCCTCGTTGACCTGAGCGACCCCCCGACCTCAGCCCCCGCCGCCAGCAACCTGTCCTCTAGCGTCCTGGCAAACCAGGGGGGCGTGCTCAGCCCCAGCGCCCCTGCCAGTGCGGGCGAGGCCCCCAAGGCCCCTCCGGCCAGCAAGCCGGTCCCCTCCCCGGCCGGGGCAGCCGGTCCCCTAGCAGTGGCACCGACGACCCCCACCCCAGAAGTCCCCCAGGCCAAGCAGGAGGCTCCCGGCACCAAAGGTCCGGACCCTGAGCCCACCCAGCCCGGCGCCGCGAAGAGCCCAGCCGAGGCAGCCAGGGCCCTCGCCAGCCCGAAGAGCGAGGCGGCCTCCATCAGCACCACAAACCCTGCCCAGGGCGAGGACTTTAAAATGGACGAAGGGAACTTCAAGACCCCAGATATTGACCTTGCAAAGGATGTTTTTGCAGCCCTGGGCTCTCCTGCTCCTGCCGCTGGGGCCAGTGGACAAGCCCCTGAGCTTGCTCCTTCCACTGCCGACGGCTCTGTTCCTCCTGCACCAGCCAAGACCGAGTACGGCCTCTCTCTGTCCATTGTCGTCGGGTGGTGTCCCGTGGTGGTGGTGTGCGTTTGTGCTGTGTCCTCCCTGTTAGATGTGTCTTCAGCCTACTCCAGAGCTTCTCGGAGGCGACTGTCAGCCAGGGGCTGGGCCGAGGCAGAGAGTGGGGACAGGCAGCAGGCCCGGCAGGCAGCCGCCTGCTGACTAATTAGGTCACGTTAATTAGGTTTTATCCTTATCGTCCTAGCAGTGGCGTCTGTTGCCCCTGGAGGAGCCTTTGCATTCGGGCCACTGATGAGCGTAGCTTGGGAAGTGAGCTAAGGAGGTCAAGGTGCCCTGATCGGCGACACTGGGACCCACAGACAGCGTGTCATCCAGGGCAAGACCGAGTCCCCACCAGAATGGCACGGGTATTCGGGAAGTAAAGAGGCAGACCCTGAGGCTCGTGTGGGGAGAGGATCTGTGTGGTCTAGAAGGCCCTGTCACACTCCAACCGACACACCTACCCACCCACCCTTGCTTCTCCTGCCCTTGAGGGACTGGGAAGACGCAGAGCTCCCAAGCACTGAATGACTGCTGGGTCTTCCAAGTTCGAGGCCAGGTCCTTCAGCTTACAGGTTTCTTCAGTGTGAGGCCAAAATGCAGGGGCACCAGCTGGGGCTGGGGTCTGAGTCTGCTCTGGTGTGTGCTTAAGCCAGATTCTCACTCTTGGGACTGAGTCAGACAGAGGTTTTTATAGAGGCTCCTGTGGCTGCCCCCAGATAAGCAGAGGTGCTGCCCCCAAGAGCAGCAAGGGGACCCTCCCCAGGAGCCCCGAATCTGTCAGAAAATAAAAGGACAGCCCCGCCCACCCAGCTCCCCTGCAGCCCGGCAGCCCACTCTGGCCTCTCACCAGACTCCCATGGAAAGCTGCCTCAGTAACAAAGAGCATTTTCTTACCCTGCCCTGGCAAGCCATAGAGGCCTCACCAGGAAAGGCAGAGCACAGAGGGGTGGGGGTGAGGACAGGCAAGCGCAGGTGGTTTGCAGAGGGCCCCCTGGGATCAGTACCAGGGAGCCCAACATACATGATTTATACCAAGCTGGGCTGCTGCAGCCATGCAGCGTGAGGAAAAGCCTGCACCTGCTGCACTTGCACCAGCCCAGGTAAAGCTGGAGCCCCTGGCCTCAGATTAGGGCCGGAAGGGCTCCTTCCGCTGATTCAGTGGCTCTCTACTTTGGCTGCAAGTTAGAACCACTTGGGTGCTTTTAAAAGTCACCACATTCATAGCACTTAAATCAGGATTTCTGGGGACACGGCCCAGGCATCAGTGATTTTTAGAGACTCCAGGTGATCCTGACGTGCAGCTGAGTTTGGAGACCAGTGCTCTAACTGGAGCCCCCTTTGAGGAACTGGCCAGAGGGTGCGTTACTGCAGACCGTGGTCTCAGTGCTGTTTTCCTGTTTCTCCACAGGAAGGGTCCTGTAGAAGCAAAGCCGGAGTGCCAGGAGACAGAAACGAAGCCAGCGCCAGCCGAAGTCAAGACGGTCCCCAACGATGCCACACAAACAAAGGAGAACGAGAGTAAAGCATGATGGGTGACGAG